ACTTGGTTCAGGATGCTTTGGAGAAGGTTAATGTGATTCAGGATAGACTCCGTACAGCCTAACAGAAGAGTTACGCGGATCAAAATGTTCGTGATGTTTCTTATATGGTTGGAGAGCGGGTTCAGCTTCGGGTTTCGCTTATGAAAGGCGTTATGAGATTCGGGAAGAAAGGAAAGTTGAATCCAAGGTTTATTGGCCCTTTTTGAGATATTGAGGTGTGTTGGGGAGGTTGCTTATGAGCTTGCCCTACCTCCCAGCTTGGCAGGAGTTCACCCGGTAATTCATGTTTTGATGCTTCGGAGGTATCACGGTGATCCGTCGCACGTGTTGGATTTCAGTTCAGTCCAGTTGGGCAAGGATCTATCCTTTGTTGAGGAGCTAGTGGCAATATTGGACAGGCAGGTTAGAAATCTGAGTTCAAAGAACATTGCATCAGTAGAGGTTCAGTGGCGGGGTCAGCCGGTAGAGGAGGCGACCTGGGAGACCGGGATATGTGCAGCCTTTACCCTCATATTTTCACTATTTCAGGTATGTCTCTATGCTCGTTCGAGGATAAACAAATGTTTAAGTATGGGAGGATGTGACGACCCGACCGGTTGTCTTAAGAATTTATGCCCCGATCCCCTATTAACTGCTTTTCCCGTGTTTATTTTTGCTATTTTGAATTGTCGGGATGTTTGGTTTTGAGTTTCGGAGAGTTTTGGAATATTTAGTCCCTAAATGAGAGCTTAAGTGTTGGAAATTTGACTGTAGTCGGAACAACATGAAAACGTCCTCGGAATGGAAATTTGATGGTTTCGTTAGCTCCGTTGGGTGATTTCGGGCTTAGGGGCGTGATCGGATTGTATTTTGGAGATATGTAGCTAATTTAGGCTTGAAATGCCGAAAGTTGAATTTTTGAAGTTTCCGGTTCGATAGTGAGATTTTGATTTGAGGGTCGGAATGAAATTTCGGAAGTTGGAGTAGCTTCGTAGTGTTGAATGTGACGTGTGTGCAAAATTTCAAGTCATTCGGACAAGGGTTGATAGACTTTTTGATCGAAAGCGTATTTTGAGAATTTTGGAGTTCTTAGGTTGATTAGTCATTTCGATGTTGTTTTAGGTGTTTTAAGGATTGATATAAGTTTGGGCAGTGGTATTAGACTTGCTGGTGCTTTTGGTTGAGGTCCCGGGGACCTCGGGATGATTTCGGATGGTTGTCGAAAGAATTGGAAGTGGGTTGAAGCAGTTGAAGCTGCTGATATATGTCATAATCGCACCTGTGGTTGGATCCCGCAGGTGCGGAGCCGCAGAAGCGGCGGAGCAATCGTAGAAGCGGAGATGAGGAAGGGGCCAGGAACCGCAGAAGCGGCATAAGTACCGCACCTGCATGACCGCAGATGCGGATTCTGGGTCCTAGGTGCGGCGGAGAGGTTTTAAGTGAGAACCGCAGAAGCAGTATCGCGGATGCGATTTTTGGATCGCAGATGCAGGATTGCTAGGCAGAACATATAAATAGTTGCCTTCGTGAATTTGAGCTATTCTTTCACCATTTTCATCTGGGAAGTGAGCTTTTGGGGAGGTTTTTGAGAGGGAATTCAAGAGAAGTTTGAGGAGGTAAGATTCTTGGAACCTAAACTCATTATTGGAGTAATTTATCATTATAAGCATGAAAAATTAAGGAAAATAAGTGGTAATTTGGGGGTTAGGGCTTGACTAATTAGAGACTTTTGAGTGATGATTTGAGGGACCATTTGAGGTCTGATTTTGGTACTTTTGGTATGACTGAACTTGTGAGAGTGTGAGGATTCTGAAAATATAAATTTTACCCCATTCCGAGATGTGCGCCCGAGGGGCGTTTTGGTTATTTTACCTAATTTCGCGTTTTAGCTTAGAATTTTTTTGTAGAATCAGTTACTTGAAGTGTTATTTATATTATGAAATTGAATTGAATAGATTTGGGCCATTTGGAGTCGAATACTCGTGGCAAGAGCGTGGTTTCGGATTGATTTGAGCTGGTTCGAGGTAAGTGGCTTGCCTAACCTTGTGTTGGGGACTTTCCCCTTAGGATTTGGTATATTTGGTAATTGAAATGCCTTGTACGTAAGGTGATGAGTGTGTACTTGTGCGAATTATTGGAAATCCGGTTTTCATTAAGTAATTACTAGTATGTTTCCTTTCCTGTTTTTATTACTTGCACTATTAAGCATGTTATTAGCTTAGGAAAGCATGTTTAAGTGATTTAGTTGATTTATTTGCTCAAACTGCCTTGCCTGAATTCGGTGCAGCATGCTAGGCTAGAATTACTTGTTTGCCTTAATATGAAATTTTCCATTTCTGAATATTTTCCTGTTGCTGCTGTGTATTTACATTGGGACTACGGATGTGGGATTCCGGTAGCTCCCCCTTGTCTGTTTATTTGGGACTACAGATGTGGAATTTCGGTAGATCCCCCTTGTCTATTTATTTGGGACTATAAATGCGGATTCCAGTAGATCCCCCTGCACAGTTTTATGGAACTACGAGACTGCACCTGGTAGATTCCCCCAGTACTAGGTATTTATATTTGGGACTACAGATCGGGATTTCGGTAAACTACCGTGCACTGGTAGTTGGACTACAGGACGGGATCCCGGGAGATCCTTCGGATACATATGATGGGCTACGGGACAGTATCCCGGGAGATCCACTGGATAGTTGTAATTGGGACTACAGGACGGTATCCTAGTTGTTGTTCTTTCATTTCTATGTTATTTCTTACTATTGCACTTATTTATACTAATTTATTCGACACTGTTAACCCTTATATTTATTTAACCTCAGTAGGGCCTTGACTTTCCTCGTCACTACCCGACCGAGGTTAGGCTTGGCACTTACTGAGTACCGCTGTGGTGTACTCATGCCCTTTATGCGAATGTTTTTCATGTGTAGATCCAGGTACTTTCACTCAGTATTATCATCCTTGAGGCGAGGCGCTTCTGTAGAGACTTCGAGGTATATCTACCGCGTACGCAGACCGAGAAGTCCCTTTCTATTCTCGCTTTTAAGTATTAGCCCTTTTGTGTTTCTTTTCTTTGTTAGACATTCTGGAGTTAGACACTGTTAGATATTCAAAGGCTTGTGGTTTCATGGGTTTCGAGTTTGGGGACAATGTATTAGTTTTGAGAATTAATATTGTGTATGCCGAGTGACACTTTTAAACGCTGTTTTATTACTCTATTTTCTGTTTTAAATCGTTTTTCTTCTGCAAATTTGTTTATCTTCCGCAATTTAGACTTACCTAGTTGTAGAGACTAGGTGCCGTCATGATGGTTCACGGAGGGCGAATCGGGGTCGTGACATTCGAATATTTCTTTATGTAACGTAAGCCCTAGTGGAAAAGTATTACGTAAGAAGTTTCAAGTTATCAGTGGTATATTGTAGATCAATATTGAGGCCAATCAACAATAGACAAAAGTCACAAAGTATGAGATGAGATTAGGTCGTCATTCTAAAGATGAGCAGTAATGACGAAGCATTAAAGGACTTAATTTATACATATGGAATAAGCAACGAGAGCAAGCTGGGATTTTGTAGCAGACCTCAGCAACAATAAATTAAAGTAAGAGTTATGGCAGTAAATTCATACGGTTGGCTAAACGGACCTATTCGATAAGATATAACAATATTCGTGAATTCAACAAAGTACCGAGCAAAGAACTTCAGTATACTCATAGATGCCCAAAGGGATATCTTATCAAGCTCTACATATAAAGCCTAGAGATTGGGCACATTTACAAGGTCAAAATCGTACAGGCTGCATGATGAAAGGTAGCAACAATTACGAGATTGGAAGGATTCCGACTACAAGTTGTGGTGTGAGAAGGAGGCCCAAGGGGGGAATGCCCTGGACTTTGGACTCATTCACAGAACAGTCTCTTAGATGGAAAGGGAAGTTCTAAAGTATTCGGAAGATATAAGTTATGGAAATGATAAATGCATCAGTCAACATTCGAAGCGAATGTTCCAAAGGGGGGGGGGGATAATGTTACGCCCCATAGTGTTACGTCGATGTTATGCTTTGCAGTAATATATTATGATGAAGTTACCCTCTGCAGTAGTATATTACGATGATAGTACATCCTGCAGTATTACACTACGGTGATGTTACGCTTCGCAGTATTATGTTACGATATTGTTGCACCCAGCAATATTACATTACGGTGATGTTATGCTTTGTAGTATTAAGTTATGATGATATTGCACCTTGTAGTATTGTACGTTGGATTTACAACAACAACAACAACAACCCAGTATAATCCCACTAGTGGGGTCTGGGAAGGGTATTGTGTACGCAGACCTTACCCCTACCCTGGGGTAGAGTGGGTGTTTCCAAATAGACCCTCGACATCCTTTCCTCCAAGAATTCCCCACCTTGCTTTTGGGGTGACTCGAACTCACAACCTCTTGCTTGGAAGTGGAGGTTGCTTACCATCAGAGCAACCCTGTCGTAAGGTAATTGACATCAGTCCAAGTAAAATATTATTTGGAGATTATAAGGATTATGCTATTACATAAGTGATGAATAAATTCATAAAAGTGAAAGGGGAAGCAAGTCAAAGAAAATAAATTTTTCGTCCAAGTTTGGCATATTGGGGTAAAATACGGTCCGAGCTAAAATACCCGGTATTTATGGACTAGTGGCATACAAGGTACTAATTGCCCATGCTAGAAAGATGTATAAAGTATGTGAAAAATGAGTAATATTTTAAGTAAGTGGGAATAATTCTTAATTTTTCGGGTAATTAATTAATTACCGAGTAGCAGGATATTACCTAATTAATTAATTAATTATTTGTTGGATAAGATTAAAAACACCCCAACCCACCCCATGTGGCAGCAAGCCACTAAGCAGTTATGTGACTCATGGTCACATTGGAAAGGTGGCATCTTGACAATTCAATTGCAAGACACCTAATACCTCAACACTTTTAAAACCAAATCATTTTACAATTCTTGAAAAGTTCCAAACGTGAGTTATGCTCCAAAAATCATTAAAGACATTCTTCAAGTCTTTCAAACAAGACTTTTAAAAGTCATTTTCACTCTTTCAAAATCAAGAACGTGAGCTTCTGAGAATTGAAGAAGGAAATAGCATGGTTCTACAATTTCAACAATTATAGAACGTTAATTTCCCAAACAATTCTTAGAATTTTAGCAACGGAGAAATTTTGCGGTTCTAACGAAGTACGGTATAACTTTTTCCAAAGATATCATACAGATTTTCTCTACTTCGGGTATGTTACGGCTAAGCCCTTATTTCATTTTGCATGATCTTGTCATTACACGATTTTGTTAATGAGCCATAAAGAAAAATTCATATCCCGGAATTTACGTATATTTTGCTAGTTTCGTAAATTGCGTATATTTTTCTAGTTTTGTTAGTTATAATTTTCTCCTTATCGGGACTTCATATTTAGTTGAGTATTTCCTTCTTCCAGTCAAAGGAGTAGAGAATTTACATATATACAGTATTAAAAGTATTTTCATTACCATCGAGGTATAATCGATGGGCAGGCCCCTATTGGGCAACCTCTGATCAGATGGTAAGTTATATACCGAGCCTACTGTTGCCGAGCGCTTATGAGCGAGCCTAGTTGGTCGAGATATAGAGCCTAGTATGGCTGAGCGCCTATGAGCGAGCCTACTATGACAGAGCAGTTATATATATATACCGAGCCTTATAGGGCCGAACAACTATTTTACTTACTATATTGAGAGAGCCGAGTCAGTATCAGCAGGTAAGCATATCTTTAGATTATCTTTGACTTCTAGCTACTTGCAGTTATTATATTATCAGTTCAGTTTCAGCTTTCAGTATATTTCCTTATATACTCGGTACATTATTTCGTACTGACGTCCCTTTTGCCTGGGAATGCTGCGTTTCATGCCCGCAGGTCCAGACAGACAGGTCGAGAGCCCTCCAAGTAGTCTATCAGCTCAGCGGAAGATGTTAGTGCGCCCTATTTACTTCGGAGTTGCGTGTTTGGTTAGTATGATTTAGACGTGTATTGTTTGGTATGGAGGGACTCTGTCCCGACCTTTATGACATTTATGTACTCTTAGAGGCTTGTAGACTTATGTCGTGTACGTGAAAGATTGTATGATCTTGTCGGCCTATGTTTTGAATTTATAAATGATCATGTTGGCCTATTAGACTCGTATGTCACGTGTATATGATGATGTAATAAGAAAGATACGTTACGTTGGTACTCGGTTGAGTAAGGTACTGGGTGCCCGTCATGACCCATCGATTTGGGTCGTGACATTTGTAAATCTGAAAAGGTAAAAAAACTGAGGGGAACGAATTGGTGTAAAAAAGTTGCAGGACTCAAAGTTGGAGAAAATGTTGCGCCTCCTAGTTTTGATCAAATATTTGAAAGTGATACTGATCTTTTTGCTCATGAAGAAGAAGAGATGCAGGGTACTCAGAGAAGTGAAATAGTATTTTATTATCTCAAGCTATAAGATTTTTTTGTTGTTATTGTACAAGATCTATTTTTATATTTGAGTTAAATTCGAATTTGCTGGGCTTTGTGAATCCGAAAAGGTAAAAAAACGTAAGAGGAATGAATAGGTATAAAAAAGGTGTAGGACTCAGAGTTGGAGAAAATGTTGTGCCTCCTGGTTTTGATCAAATATTTGAAGGTGATACTCTTTTTCTTCATGAAGAAGAAGAGATGCAGGGCGCACATAGAAGTGAAATAAGTATTTTATTATCTCAAGCTATAAGATTTTTTTGTTGTTATTGTACAAGATCTATTTTTATATTTGAGTTAAATTGGAATTTGCAGGGCCATGTGAATCTAAAAAGGTAAAAAAAAGTGAGAGGAACGAATAGGTGTAAAAAAGTTGAAGGACTCAAAGCTGGAGAAAAGTTGCGCGTCACTTTCTATCATAATAGGGTTGTTGGGCAGCATCATGCCTCATTTACGAGATATTTGGGTATATTGGTTCGTGATCGTAATATGTGCCCATTGCGTGTACACTCATGGAAAGACATTGAAGAATATAAGCTACAACACATGTGGGAAGCTATTACGGTAGAGATTTAAAGCATTACTTTCTTGATTTACCTTCTCCATTTCTACTTGTTAATACAATATGTTAACTCAGTTTCTTCTTATTTTTATATCTCTACTGATTTTTAGACGTCCGCAATAAAGCTAAAAGTATTTAACATGACCAAGTTCAAGAAAGATAATTCCATATTTCAGCACTTGAATTTAAGTTTGGCAGAAAGGAAAAAAAAAGGGATATGAATTATGATCTACATATTTTTGATAATTTTATTATATACATTTAAAACTTTCTTGAGTGCTTTTCAACTTTGGCCAAGTGAATTGTTTGTCTTCTTCTCTATGAAGTACACCAATCTATTTCCTCTTATACTAAAGTTGGTACAAATGATCAGTTCTAACACCATGGCAAGCAATTTTAACCTATTACTTTTCATGTTTTCTTTCTTCAAGCTTCGTTCATTCAGGGAACAAGCCTGTTTCAATATTGATGCAGCTTCCGAATAAGACATTATCGCCCCACGCCCGAATAAATTCTCTTGTAATGATCTGTGGCAGCCCAAGATTATTCAAGGTTTTGTGAATTATATCAAGCCATGTGAAATTGATTTATATGTCGTTCAGTGCACAATACACTATTATGTGAAAAATATAGTTGAAAGAAATTCTTGCTCTATTAAAATTGCTTTTTTCTGGTGATTAATTATATGTATGTATCTAAATTATGTAGAATATGGATGTACAATTGTTATATACTTTTCCTTTTCATTTGAAAACATCATGTCCACACTAATGCTATAGCATAGAAGATATACAGTCACCCCCAAAAATTGTTCAGTGAACTTTCGGTACAATTTTTCATTTCATCGTCTAACTCATTGCTCTAATACACACTGTAGTCTGAAGAGTTTAGAGTTCTTGTGATTCTCCTTTGAGAGTGTAAAGCATTGTGTATAGCTTTCAATGAGCACTTATTATTTCTAGCTCACTTACTTAATAGTTAGTATGTTTTTGAGCCGAAGGTCTATATTGGAAACAACTCTCTACCTTCACAAGGTAGGAGTAAAGTCTGCGTACACACTACCCTCCCCAGACCCCACGATGTAGAATAATATGGGATATGTTGTTGTTGTTGTATGCTACTATGCATCTAAACTATGATGTACAAACTAAGAGTAGAAGTTGTAGATGAATGAACAATAGATCCAACAAAGAGAAAGAGAAACAGGTTTCAGTATTTGCTGATATGCTTCTAAACTAATGATATAAACACGATCATAAAAGTTGGTCTTTTTTTTCCATTTGTCTTTCAAGGGATTACACTGGGCAGTGGCGGAGCCAGGATTTTCATTAAGGGGAGTCAAAATATAAAAAAATAAACTCACCAAGAAGTCAAGGGGTGTCATTATATAGTATATATACATGTTTTTAAAAAACTTACCGAGCTATACAGTGTAATTTTCCGGCGAAGGGGTATCGGTTGACACCCCTTTGGTGCATGTGACTCCGCCACTGACACTGGGTATGTTGTTGTTGTTGTTGTTGTTGTTGTTTCATATTTAATTATACTTGTTAACTATTGTAGGATAAATTTGTCACTGATGACATAAATGATCAACGAGATCATGTCTTGAAACATATGAGAAAGTTGTGGAACAATTGGAGAGGATCGATGCACAAGAATATTAAGTCTAAGCCATTCCGTTATGCTATAAAAGATGTGCCAAAGGGGGTAGGCAAGAGTGATTGGGAATGGCTGGTCAAAGAGCATTTTTTTACTGAAAAATTTAAGGTATGATTTCACAACTATTTATTAACATTGTTGTTATATTAAGTGGCTAACAAGAATTTTGCCGGTATATTGTTAATTTAGGAGACAAGTACAAGAAACTCGGTCAATAGGTCTAAGTTGAGTATGCCTCATCGTACGGGGAAACCAATTAGGGAGATCATTTATGAATTGGTGAATAAATCTTTTAATTCTATTAAGAAACCTCATCTTTGTTACAAAGATTCGTTTCACTTCTTTATTGTAATGTGAAGGGAGGTAAAGATGGTCAGGGGCGTACACAGAATTTTTTGTAAGCGATGTCAAAATTTAGAGAGGCGTACAAATGAAGAGATTACTTTAATAAAATCATACTTTAGAAAAACACAATTCAAATATAGTAGTAGAGTTCTCTCCCACGAACTTTTATTTTTATAAAATGTACTCATATAGACTCAGTACAAATATAACTTAAAAAAAATCTATATAAGGCAGCAAACATTTACTCAATAGGACGTTGCTTCTTTCAAAAAATTTCCAGAAGAATACCAAAATATTAAGAAAAAAGTTGTTAAAACCATGGGGAGTCGAACGTTTGACCACAAGCAGAAACTGGATTGTTTCACCAACGGACCAATATAGTTGTTAACGTCAAGTTGTGCCATTTATTATATTTAGACTATATTTCCTTTTTCAGATTATTTACATATATATTAATAAATAAAAAATTTCGGCCAAGCGGTGTCTTGGCTCAACGTGCCTCCTCCCCTGTAACTATTTTTTTTGAGACTCGTAAGAAGAACAACAAGCTTGTCACACCTGAAACCAGTGAGAAATATGTATGTTTATTGATAAATTTCAATTTATATTATTTATTTATTGTGTTGTATTATTTTAATTAAATAATTTTTTATTTTACAGGATAAAATCAAAGAATTGGTGCAATCTGAATCGTCTCTTACAATCATTGAGGTTGTAGAAAGGTGCTTCGAACCTCAACGAAAGAGTCATGTAGTTAGATTTGGTGATGGGATAACCGCTAAGGAGTTGAAAAGTGGTAACTCCTCTAAAGCTGCATTGTTGGAAAAGCTGAATGCTACTGTAAAAGAAACTGAATCACGGAAAGGACATTTGGAAGGGCTAGAGAGCAAATATGATGAGCTAGGGAGTAAATACGCACAACTTGCAAAGATAGTGTTTGATCAGCTTTCATCACCATCTTCAAGTGATCAATAAATTGAATCATATAACGGGTTAGTACATGAAAATCCTATTTTACTCTATAAAGCGTACCTTTATAGTAACCTAATTTTAGTCCTTTTGGTTTCTTCCACATGCCCTAAGTTAAATTGTCGATTTGTGCTTTTGCACTTTCCTGTTTCTTCCTGTATCTTTTTAATTTGTGATGTATCACCATTAGACGTTGTTAGAAGGGTATTTACTTAGATTGTTCTATGGGAAAAAGAAGAGCCAGTAATTAATAATTTTTCTTTCTTCAGTGAATAGCTTCACATATGAACTCTGTGGAGAAACTAAAATCTCGCCGCATTTTGATTTTATCATCGGTATGATAATTTGTATGAGCTCGTTTTACTGGCAAAATGCCCTCTGCTTTGGATCCTGTTCTACAAAGTGAAAAGTGTCAACAATTATGAAAATAGAAACATAGAGAGAATGAAAGTTGATGCCAGTGAATATTGCATCGAGTAGGCAAAAAAAAAAATCTTCTGCTTAATGCATTTGTTTGATGTCAGGGAATATAAATGTTTGGATGTGAATAACTTGCCAGTAAGCAGATAAGTGGAAACCGTAGGTAGGATAATGCAGAATAAAGGATTATCTGCCCTTTGTTGATAATAATGATGATATGAGTTGAGCTTAAAGAATGAAGTGAGGATTCATATTGCCGATCCCAATTGTTTGGGATTGAGGCGTAGTTGTTGCTATTGTAGTCTCCCAGATCTTTCAAATCAAATATGAGCTGATTATTTATAGTTTTTCCCGTAAGAGTACAAGAATGAAATCACTGGGCACAGAGTCTCCGAATTATGAGACAGTGACTAGAAATAAAGCTATAAAACGAGCCTCTCTTCACTTTGTGTTTCTTCATAAGTAAATGAAGTTTGTCCTCTAATGAAGGAATTTTAAGTTCTGTGAATCACTATTTAGGACCCTCACTTGATTCTTCAGATTATCTTGCCAGGAAAACTAAGCAAAGCATGAATTAGTTGTGCACGAGAGTCAACCTCCCGAATCTGACCAGATCTAAAGTTTGCAAACTTTTCCTTTTAAAAGTTGAAGCCTTCAAAATACAGTATCCAGACGAAAATTAAAAAAGGATAAGAAAAGATATAAGCTATATCTTCGGATCCATAACAGTTTGCGCATCAACAGCTCCTATATTTTGGACTGGTGTAACATTAGGTTCAACATATCCCAGCTTTCTTCTCCTTCATAGTTGTTATATCAAAAGCATTAGAACAGCTGAAGTTTTGTGCAGCAGTGCTCTGATTTTTGTGACTTGGTGCATTCTTTTTGCTATTCACTAAATATGGCTGGTAAATAGAAACGTAACTAACATGTATATCATTATTTCTAAAATGTATAATAGGATGTCATGCAAACTGGATGATAATTCTTAGCTCCAATTCTAAAGGTCTAGGTCTTGATGCTTTCTAGCTATTGATGCAGTAAAACCTGCAGAGGCAGTTTATAGGGTCATACTTAAAGTTTGTTACCTGTAATAGTCATACCTCTTCTGTTTCTCTTTAGCTGTATGCTTGAGTTTCAGGTAATTGTACTGGAGGTACTCCACATTTAGAATTAATAGTAAAAATTCGTTTACAAAGTTGGAAAACATCCAACAGTTGAAGAAACTGCTCACTTGTACTATGCTTGTGCGACTATAATTATACTGTAGTTTCAGTCTTTTAGACTGTAGAGCACAAAAGTGACTAAATTACTTGCCACTTTTTGCATAATATATTGATTATATCTGTAGGCTGCTTTGGTTGAGAATTTGTGGTTCTTTCGTTATATAAGAAAGTGTGTGTAACCCCGAGCAAAGGAGCTAATTAAATGAACTCAACTACTACTAAAAAAGGGCTCAGCAGTCAACTTACTTCTCATGAATATGGTTATCTATCTGTGCATTCGATAATTTAGGTGTTATCTGCTCATTTTCTCTCTAACTTGTTCATTTTCTTCTTTAGTTGTTTATTCTTTGTTATTAAACTGGCATAAATTTTTTATTTTAACAGATCAAAAATTTGAAGTCCGAAGAACCTATCCTTGAAGAAAGTGTAGAGCAAGTTGAAGTACAAGATGTTTTTGGTTCGTTAGGAATGGTTTAAAGACACTGTCTTATGTACATATATATGCTGCAATTTTACTTTTTTTCCTTTTTAGGAATTATTAAAAATGATAATTAACTCATCTCACTTTATGCTTCCAGTTGTCCCCCGGATGGGATTTATTTTTACTTTTCATTGTTTTAGTAAGATGGGTTTCTTACAATTTGGATTGGTTTCTCGTAAATTAAATAGGATACTTTAGTTCTTTGTATTAACAAGATATCAAGTATTTGGTTTATTTTCCAATGTTGTTAAGCGTGTATGAAAACGTATAAATAATTATTACTATTCATGTAATTTAAATTTTTATTATATTTATTACATTTTCATATTAGCGAAGAAGAATGTGGTCGTTAAAACTCTTTAACGACAGATTTCTCAAATAGATAAATGACTATTAACGAAGAGAGTTTTGGTTGTTAAAAGTAATTATACAATTAACGAAGGGAATATCGGTCGCTAAAAGCACTCGAATTGACTTAATACATTGTTATCATTAAAGACTTTTAACGACCGGATAACAAAATAGCAAGAGGAAAATCCTGTCGCTAAAAGTCATGTTTAACGATCGAAAATAATGTCGACGCTAAAGATCCTCTAATGACCGGATTGTAAACCAGTCGTTAACTTTTAACGACCGGTGACGACCGGATTTTTTCCGGTCGTTATCAACTTTTAACGACCGGAATTGGACTTTGAACGACCAGATTTTCCCTCGCTAAAGCCCCATTTTCTTGTAGTTTCGTGGCGCACTTTCTTTTTAATTTATTTCAAAAAAGAATATTATCTTTCTATAATTAGAAATAATTTAACTTTGAAATTCTCATTTTACCTTTAATGAAATGATTTATATTCATACAAAATCTACGACGTGTTTTGGATCATAAATTTTAAAAATTATCCTTTTTGGATCCTTTTTTTCTTAAAATCTACGACGTATTTTGGATCTTTTTTTTATTAAATTTTGTGTCTAGTCAAATAGTGTCACATAAATTGAGACTAATGGAGTAATATATGTCCCGTCACGATAAGCAACTCCAAGATCCACCGTCCCTGGTAACTTTCATCTAAAGTCGTGCATACTAAATTGCAGCTATTATATCAAGATTATGGTACTGAGCTTACATTTCTTAGGACAAATCTAATACCGTGTTTGCATAATCTATACGTCATGCGCGAGCTACATGCTTTTTAGAAACCAAGGCTTCTTATTAAGATACTATTAAATGTCTATTTAACATTGATCTTTTTGAGATACTTCTAAGTTAATTATTACTTTATTTGATACTAAAGAACTTGAAAAATTACGTCAAAACTTCTTGGGAAGAGCTTCGAACACATGCAAGCAAGAAGCTAGTGCGGTCATTGCCCACTAGCTTATTTATCTTTCATAGGATATTTATATCAAATTAAATGATTTAATCAATTATAGTGAGAATACATATCACTTCAGTACAATACTAAGTGAATAGACATTTTTATTTCATATACTCTATGTCTTTCAATCATTAGTTGAATATATGTAATTAGTATACATTTTGCGATAATATTCCTTCATCCTCCATGATAATTTAAGTTATGGTGTAGCATACCAATGTTGAATTAGTTAGTGGAATATAAATGAGAACTAGCTGCTCATTAAAGCTACATATGAAGCCCCTACTGTCACATATTCATGCACCTCATCACCTATATATACCTCCAACACTTCACTCCGTAGCTATCTCAATTCACAATCCAACCCAAAATCTAATTATTATCTTTAAACGTTTCTCAAATATGGGTTCCTTTATCCACTTCTTATTCTTGTTTTCCTCAGCTTTATCCATTTTACTTGTGGCACAAGAAACTTGCTTTCACTGTATCAACCACCTCCAATGGGATCTAACGTACCATAATGGTGCCTTGTTAGAAAGAGAGCTAAAATTATCCATTCTTTGGTACGGAAAATTCTCACCACCCCAAAAATCAATTATTCTGGATTTTCTCCAATCCTTGAATTCTGCAAATAAAATGGGGTCACTTAAAACACCCACTGTTTCAAAATGGTGGCAAACCATTCACTGATGAAAATTGTTCCATTGGAAAAAACCTAAAGAAATCCCAGATATCTGAGTTGGCTCATTTAAGCTCAAAAAAAGGTGAATTAACCTTGGTCCTAACAGCCCAAGATGTTGTAGTTGAAGGCTTCTGCATGAGCAATTGCGGGTATCACGGGTCGGGTCAAGGCAAAAAATCTGTTTTCATATGGGTGGGTAACTCGGTGACTCAGTGCCCCGGTCAATGTGCGTGGCCATTTCACCAACCAATTTATGGACCACAGGACAAGCCATTGGGTGCACCAAATGGAGACGTGGGTGCGGATGGCATGATTGTAAATACAGCGAGTCTTTTGGCCGGAGTTGTAACGAACCCATACGGGAACGGCTACTACCAGGGCCTGGCTGAAGCGCCCTTAGAGGCAGCTTCGGCTTGCGCCGGGTTTTATGGTAGAGGGGCTTATCCAGGTTATGCAGGTGAGCTGCTTGTGGATTCGATAAGTGGTGCAAGCTATAATGCGCATGGTACAAACGGAAGGAAGTATTTGTTGCCTGGGCTTTTTGATCCAAATAAATCAGCTTGCTCAACTATTGTCTAGAATAATACATATACTTCTGCTAGAAGATGGAGCACTTCAAATGTTTACTTTTAGTTATGTAAATTTTGTTTATATGTAGTTTAAACATTTACTTTGAGGAAAATGTAATTTTCGTCCCGTATATTGTTCTTTTAGTTTATATATTTAGTTTTGTCTATCTATTATTACTCCTTTCAATCAATTTTATTTGTTCACTATATTAGAAATATATTTTTAATTTTCATTTTAGCAAATTAAGAGAAAGACAGTTTTTTCCTTCTTATTTTACTCTTATTATTAAATTTTCACAATTAGCTACTCCCGCTGGTCCAAAATAAGTGATCATTTTAAGGAAATACAAACTTCTAGAGAAAAAAAAGTTGTATTGACTAAATTAATTTTAATTAATTGTTATCTTATAAGGGCAAATTTTGGAAAAATAAATTAATTCCTTCTTGATTATGTACGTAGACACTTATTTTAGATCAAAATAAAAAGGTAAATTGGTCGTTTATTGTGGACCATAGGGAGTAATAATTTTTCAAATTTAGGGATTTGGTCCAACCTCAATTAAATTGACTAACCATTAACGCTTCCGTTAAGTGTTACTTTTACTTTTAATTAAGGGAAATGTTTAAGTTTCATTTTCTAGAGAAATAGAAGTATACTATTACTACATGATTACCTCTTTGAAACCAACATCCGGGAGTAGAATAATGAGTCGTTATTGTAAGTAGTTCTATTTTGTAAAGGACAAGATATTCCTAGTTTTGATAAACTAATTTCCAATGTATTAAGGTCGAAAAATAGAGGTCTCCTATAGAGGTCTTCTTCAGTCACTCCATATCCCTTTTTAACGCAGCTGGGCCTTTATTAATGGTAAAAATAGGAGGAAAAAACATATTTAGCCAATATTTAAGAAAGTTTTACAGAGCCCTAGCAATAATAAGTAATTAACAAAAATGGCAGCTATAACTATATTTCTAGCACAAACCTATAACGCTGGAACAATCATTCTCACATCTTTCGCTCCCTCATTTAATGTATTACCTCAAGATGCTCTCATTTCTCCTTCACTAACTGCTTTTAAATCTAATTGTTATACTTATAATATATTAACTTTAATAATACATTGTGTTGTATAATTATTAAGTACATGATGAATAGTAATGTTATATATGAATATACATTACTAGTATATATTCATAGTATCTTAATGGTATATATATGATATACATATACAAACTACATATAAAATACTATCATGTATGACGTATTTATGATATACACTACAATATAATACAATCATTCATAAATTTTTTCAGCCATTGTATGTATAAAATGTGTATTTAATAATAGTATATATATATACGTGAAATAAATATATACACGTTATAAATATTTATATACATGATATAATTATGGTATTTAACAATGTATAAATTACAATAGTATTCTACTATATTATATACATGGTATAATAATGGTATTTAATAATATTAATAAATAACTTACAATGGTATTCTAGTATATTAAATTTATATTTTATTATATTAGTTCCTCTTTAATGTGCTTCAAGCCCTTCTAGCGAAGACTCTGTAAAAAAGAAAAGAAAATATCTTCCAAAAGTCTCCATGACAAAGTAAAGAGCAGAGAGATGGAATCATGGAAGGAAGTACATAACGTATAGGATAGGAAAGATTGTTTTTATATTCGGGAGATTTTTTAGGGGCCTAATAGAATTGGTCAAACTTTCAAATTTAAATTCAAAATTAGATATGAGAAAATTTGTTATTTTTGGAATAAGCAGAAAATACTATTATTTATGAGAAAACTCTTTAAAAAGTGAGCAGCTGCGCAGAAATCTCTTTATTTTATATTTTATTGTGATGATGACGGTATCGCAATACTACTAAAAATGGACGGGTCCAATGTCCTTTTAGCGTGAGATGATTTTTGATAGGAATTTTTACGTTCCTGTGCCATATAGGAAATTATATTACTCTCAATGTTTAAGGTTTGATATAATTACATTTAGTATATTTAATTACTAATTATATATCATTAGTGATTTTTAAGAGTATTAATTGCACTCCTAATTTAATGGTACCGTAAATTCCTTCTAATACCACTTCCCCACGTTTCTCTCTCCAATTCCCACACCTTCACCCACGTTTTCCTCCCATACCCACGAGTCCTATATCAAAATCCCATTATTTCTTCCTTAGCCAAGACTTTGAATTCAAATTTGGGTTTTCAAAAGACATTGTTTGTTTGGATTGGATATTGTTGCAAAGAATTGAGAATTCTCTCTACGTCTCTCTCTATTTCGCAATCCCAAATTTCAGTAATATAAGAGGAAAGGAAAAGAGAGCAGTAATTTCACCACTGATAGCCATTATAAAGCTTTGAAGCTTTGAATTCTAATTTGGGTTTTCAAAAATCATTATTTGTTTGGATTGTGTGTTGTTGTAAATAATTGAGAATATGGTTTGGAGTTTATATCTCAATTTTGAGGGGTTTTGGTGAAGATTAGACTTGGTTTTGACTGAATTTCAGATTGAAACTCGAAGAAAAAGAAGAAAAAGAAGACATGACATACATTATATTGCAGAAATTGTAGATAAATTGTAGAAAAATTGTAGACTGTTGTTTATTTATTTTTGAGCTTTGTGTTAAAAGTTTGGATGGGAACTTGTTATTCCACTTCGTCTGTTTTGGAGCTAACTTGTGCAGATGAGAAGATGTTTTTTAAGTTATATATATTGCTATACCTTTAAATTCAAGAAAGTATGGTTGTATTGTATTTAANAAAAGTTTGGATGGGAACTTGTTATTCCACTTCGTCTGTTTTGGAGCTAACTTGTGCAGATGAGAAGATGTTTTTTAAGT